AAAGATTTTGATTATTTTTAACAGTGAAGTTCTATAATCCTGATAAAACTTCTATATACTTTTTTTTTTATTATTATTCTTTATAGTTTTATTTTTTTAAAAAGTACTTTAAACTGTATAAATAATATAAAATTAAATTGATTAGTCAATCATATAAAAGTCTTTCTATGCAAATATTGCTACTTATTTTTGTGTGATTTTTAGCTATATTAGCCAGCTAACCATATAGTATTATATATATTGGCTAGCTTATCTAACTAAACCGGTTTGCTACTAATTATCATTATAGCTAATTTATAAATTCTGAAGCTAGAAAATTGATTATGGTTGAATCAATAAGTTTTCAAGTTCAGCCAAATTTAATGACTTATTGATTTTGACTTAGTGATTTATGGATTTGTCCCAGAATTTATGAAAACAGCTGTAAATGTACGTTAATTAAAATCGATGTACGGTACGTTCTAGAAAGGAATTTATAGGCTTTACTACCGACTTACAATTAAATCCTTTAAAAAGAATAGTAATTTTTATCGCGAGTTTGCGCAATTGAATATAAAAAAAGTATAAATAACGTAACGGTTGCATAGCAGCTGTTACGTCAGTTATACTTTCTCAGTAAATTCTCGCACATAATATATGCCTGTATGTATAATATATTAAAAATTTTCGAGTAAACCATGCATACGTATAATGATTAAAAAATTGCTGATCATACCAACAACTATACAAACCTACCTATGTACGTACGTAACTAGCTCAAAAATATTACTAGATTGCTATATCCATCAGAATCAAGATCTTGTATACGAACGCAAAACTCGGATTGAATTATATACTTTGTTTCACTACGTTCCTGAATGACTATCCGGATGTTATTTTTTTAATCTCGGATATCAGGGTTGTAATCACTACTACCCGAGTAAATATATCCGGATAGTACCTGAATAGACTACCAGAATACTACTCGGATACATCTACCCGGGTAGCAGTGATTACAACCAGTGTTTAAAATTCAGAAAATATTTTACTTGCACAAATTGAAAATTTTGTGTAATAAAGTATAAAAATTTTAATTTACTATAAAAATTTCCATGCACAGAATTATTTTTTCTTGCACATTAAAAAAATTTACATGCACTGTGCATGTATGTGCAAGCCAATTTTAAACCCTGATTATCCGATTACCCGCGGATAACCCGTGTGGTACCCGATCCGGGTACAATCTCTAAATTAAATATACACTATCAATATACTGTATTTATTTAACATAAGATTCGCTATTCAAGCTTATTCTTCAATACCGATACCGATATATGGGGTCCCGCAGCAAAAAGTGGTGATTGGCCAAAAAAAATTTCTGTAAAAACTTTATTTTAGAAAAAAATTAGATTATTTAGAACACAATATTAAAAAAACTACGATAAAAAGTTTTTGGCATCACCTTTTTTTGTGAAGTCCCATATCATAAATTTAAGAATCAATAATCAAGCAAATATATCTACAATTTCGCAGTTAGAAACTTAAACCCACGCATCTTACGGTTAATCTGCTCGTATTAAAAGATTAATTAAAGTTACAAATTACAGTTTGGGTAACATTATCATGTAAAAGATATCGGAATTATTTGAGTGTCGCCAAAGAAAACCTGCATATCTAAAAATAGATTACTTATGAATTCCATAAGCGATCTATTTTTAGATATGCAGGTTTTCTTTTGGCGACACTCATTTAGAGAATTATTATACTTAAAAAGAATTGTGCAAGCATTTAGATAAAAAAAAAAGAATGTAAACTCTAAGTTACTATACGTGTAACATCCTGATAGAAGTAAAGCACAAAATTTCTTCACAGAATTTCGATACAATATGTTTATTTATTGGTTAACGTTTCACTGTGATAATATTTTTTTAGAAACTTTATAAACTGAAGTGTACGTAGAAATTATTTATTTAAAGACCTTAAAGACTAATTGATGAGTGCATATGCTTTCTCATCCTGGAAATAGGCATAACTTTCATATAAAGAAGAACATTAACTTTATCTTCTATAAAATGTCAGAACTACCAGATTTGTTAAACTTACTAAATCAATTACAAAATCTTATACCTCCATATGTATTAGGTTCGTTACCAGCAATAGCAACAACGGGGGCAACTCCATATAATAGTCTGACTGCAAAGTTAATATGGTAATTCGGTCCATTTACAGGATTATTTTACTTCTGCATTACAATGAACTTCGCAATACAATGAATAATACAGTAGCAATGAGCACATACTGGCTCCAATTAGATTGTTTTACTCAGCAAGATCCCCCTATTCGGCCCTTTGGGCATTATGCTAGGGATATAGAACCTGATGAGAATCAAGATGAAACTCTAAAATTTTGCGTTGCAGAAGCATCTGTATTGGATAGATTGTCATTAGTGGTGTCGGTGTACTATATACTAATTGGTACACTTGCAGGAATAGCAAAAGTGGTAGGGCCATGTATGCCAGATTCTTCATATCAGGATTGGCCATATATACCATTAATGTTAATTTGGACACTGCCTATAATTTGCATTAGAATAGTTAATGGAAATGTAGTAGACAGGATGGCATCAAATCCACTAAATGAAAGAAATCCAGAAAATCCAGAAAATCCAAATATGGCAATTTCGATAAATCCAATAAGTCAAAACAATCGAATTAGAATACAGAACCATCCAAATCTTAAACGTGAACAATTTCATACTTTTATTATTGCTTTAGCTTCAGCAACAATTCATTGGGTTGCAGTAATTCTGGCTTATTTTACTCGTCCAGTTGGATTTTACTGTAGATGTAAATTTTTAACAGTAATGTTCCATATGGACATTAAATAACTGTATTGCATACCTAAGCCATATAAATGGAGAAAAAGATGTGCGTGGTAATAAGTATATGCATCTTTGGTTTTGCACCTGTGGTGTCATAATAGCAACACTTTTAACTGTATTCAGTTTGCTAGCCAATACAAAGTCTTTGTGGGTAGACCTATTTGGGCCTTCTTGCTATGTTCTACTTACTTGTGAATCAGAGTAAT